CATCATCATCATCACCACCACCACCACCGTGCAATTCACAGCGTTCTTGCCTTTCACTGCGGAGTAGTGAAGGTTTTCCAGGGGGCTGACGCTGACGCGGGTGATGATGGGGCTCGCAGGGTAATCATCGGGTAGTCGTGGTGGTGTGTAATGGAGGAGAGCGGCTTGTCTTCATGTGTGTGTCGGCACATACTTGTGTGTATGCTGAGGACGTTTGCATGTGTGCATTCGTACATGCATCAGTGTGCATGTGTGTGTCTGTCAGAGGCTAGTGAAGAGTAGGCACAATCTGCATGCACTTAGTCCTGGCAAGACAGAGCAGGCGTTTCTAAGCCCCTGGACCGCGCAGCGGTGGAAAACCGATCTGTAAATAACAGACACATGTGTTTGAAACTGAGTCCTGTATTTCAGCCCACGGCCGCAATGAGAGAGAGAACACCACTCTGCTCCGACGTCAAATTGTCTCATCCAGTGTTGTATGACAATCATGCCGTAATAGCACCCAGTCGGCTCCTCAAAAGCGGGTACATGGGGAAAGGGGCATAGCGGGGGTCTGCTGTCGGGTGTTTCTGATTATTTGAGATGGGGGCCTGCATAATATCATGTCAAATTATCTGACTCTGACAGCTACAGCTTGTTGGGCCAGTTGGAGAGAACGGCTGGCTGGCTGAATGGATGGATAGTCGACTGGCTGGCTGACCTGTTGGCTCGAGAAGTGTGGCCCGTACAATACAAATGGGGTAAACAAAGCACTTTGAGAGGGAGAGTCCTTGACCTCTGTTGACATAAGACCTCAGCTGCGAGTTGAGGGTTGGTTTTATTTTCTTGTTTGGCCCAAGTGGAGGGCGTTGAGTTGACCTGCAGGTGACAGACAGGCGTAGCACCGCCACTTCGCCAGTATTGTGTCCCGCTACTCTCCTTACTGCCCCCGAGGGACCACCACCTGTGAGAGAAGGCCGATGTAGGGCACGGTTTTTCGGGCCTTTTCAGGATTTCAGGTTTTTTTGGATATTCCACTCCAATTCATTTGTAGTGGGAGATTACTACTATTCTTGCTTTTTTCTCTTCTTATTTTTCCCGGGACAGGAAGAGTCTTTCCCGAGGGTTCATGTTGCACACAGGCTGAACTTGTCATCTTCTGTTTCACATTCCGCTTTCCTTTAAGTTGCATTTTGCGCTGTGGTTCGTTTGCACATCAATGACGTCTATATAGAGACACGTAATTTTTCAGGAAGTGTGATACTTCTCTTGATAAAAGCCCAGCGCGGCCGCATATTGTACAGCACTTTGAAGTTTGGATAATGAGCATAAGCTCTGGTTGGGGTTGGTTCACTGTAACTCAATTGATTCAAAATGCAAATAAAAAACACACTACTAATACAGCATTTGTTCTTAATCCTTGGCGAACTTCATCATGCCATGAGCTGACTTTGGAAGAAAAATATACTTCTTGAATTAAAACTGAATTGAAGTGACCAATTATTGGTCCAGACTAGAAGTCCCTCCTTCTGCCAAGTTTGGAAATCTGTGGAAACGTATCATACAGATGTGACTGCAGATGTTTGCAGTTGGAAACCCGTTGTAATGTCACTGAATCTACAATTGTTTTATTGTGATAATGTTGCTTTAAAGTGGTGTGACCCAGTTGGCAGACGTGTAGTGTTAAAAGGGATCCTCCCTGTATTAAAGGGGGAAGTACACCCATTATTCACACATGCTGATCCAGGCCAGGAGCCTGAAAACACTCCAATGGGAATAAATATGAAACTGTTCCAGTAAAATGCAACCCTATTTTCTTACAGTTATGTAGCCCGGCCATAATCAGCATACGGCATTTGGACTGCTGACCACAAGCCTCAAATTCCGCCAAGAAATTAACTGGCATTAAGTAAAGCTCAACTGATTCTGGATTTTTGAGGATGATACTGATATTTTTCCGATAAAAATAACTCTGATCACGATGTATCATCTGATCTTCATTTCTTAACATAAACACGTAACAACATAGCCAAACAGTTTTGATAAGGAATCCTTAAATTTGGGTATTAAATTGCGACATGTACTGAACGGGATGTTCTACAGTTGAAAAATAAACTTGATGAGACTGTTTCTAGATTAAATTAAATATATCTTTCTGTAACACAGTTAACAATTGTTATATATCAGCCAACATATATGCAAATATAGACACTGTATGTCTGTAAATAGTCAAAATAGGTTCATATTGGTCTGGCTCTAACATTAAATAATCTGTGACACAGAGCACCCTCTGCACGTGACAGTGGAAACAGCTATAGACTTATCTCTGTCATTCCAATTATGTTAGCTTGTTATTGACATAAGTCACATTTCAAATGGACACAGAGGAGTGTAATCATAATACTTTTTTATATGAACAAGCATCATTAGCATCTGCAGCTGAAAGGTCCAGAGAGTGCAGATGCACCACAGCGATGAACGAGCGTCTGGTACCAATTATGGTTGCAAAAATAAAAAGATGAAAATGACTGATTTTAAATGTTAGTGTAAAATACTGTCTTCACTTCACATATTCTTAGCCCAAGTTTGGCCGATGGGGAGTGTCTTGAAATGCCAAGGGATGAGTTTTTGTTCCATAACAGAGACCAGGCTGGAAAGTGAGTTTTAGAAAGAACATGGTGTTTTGAAACGGGACAATGTGCAGGAACCCTTAAGTGTTCACACAGAATCCTTTTACCTGTCACTCAATGTTCCTCAGCTGCAGATTAGCCGGAGCTCGGCCCTGAGAGAGAGGACATGTTTGGACAACACCTGACATGACAGGCTGCTTAACCATCTCCATTAGAGCCAATGAGAACTGAGAAAAAGCAGACCGCCTCAGTCTCCAAATTGGTGCCAGTGGGGTCAAGTTGCAGGAATATGCCAATTACTTAAATTGATCAGGAGACGGTTTCCTTGATAACCAATTTGATCAAGCTGCCGATCGTGTTACACGTGTCGTGCAGCACGAGCACCGAACAGGGCGTCTAAGAAATTGGTTACAACACACTAAAAAGGCTAAACGCAATTTCTTCTGCGAGAGTAATTCTGTTTCGTCATGTCAGGTGGTGGACGGGGCCGCAGCCATGGCCTGTAAACAATGGCGTTTCAGTTGATTTAATTAGGCAGGGAGGAAGTATTTAGGGGCTTAATTGAGATTGCAGTGGGAAATTGCTCTGAAATAGGTCTACCTGATTTTTTTTTTCCCCTCTTCACAGTGGGCATGACGAGGGATTTCACTCTCCTCTTTGTAGATAATTAGAATAACCATAATCACTCCCTGGATGGCCTGTGATTGGAGGGAGCCACATGCCAAACTCGAAATATGAAGAGTGTGTATTTTTCTGAGTGTGTGCCTGCATGCTGTCTGCTCCTTACATGGGTGTGGAAGATATGCACATACATGCCTTCATGAGGGTTTTCTACATGCACAGAGACGCCGTCTTGTGCTTCTCTTTGCCTCAGATGGCAGCATTGCTCCTTGTGCTTTATGTGTCTGCCGCTACATGTCTAGCTTTCTCTTTGCAGCTGCAACAAGTAGTCGATTTCTCAGTCACTCGCCAGAAAATTAATAGCCAACTATTTTGATAATCAATTAATCATCTTTTGGTTCCATCTTCTTTAATATTAATATCTTCTGGTTTCTTTCGTGTTCTGATTGTAAACTTAATATCTTTGGCTTTTGGTCTCTTTTTTGGACAAAATAAGACATTTGAAGACACCTGGAATTTGGGACATTGTGATTGTTGTTTTTAATAATTTTCTACCATTGTACAGATCAAATAATTATCGATTAATAGATTTTGTCCTCATTAGAACAAGTTCACAGTTTTTTATGTATTTAAATACTAAATATTTACATTTATATTGTATGTCTACTTTTTACGAATTTCATTTTTACCATCAGTTACCTGGGGGCCACTGGCCAGGTTGTTCTCCAATGTTAAACGTTTTTGCGATAATAAATTTCAGCTATATACGTTCTGGAGCTGAGCTACTCATCTTTCCCTCTGTCCTGTTGTATTTAGCATTTAATGTGTTTAGTAGAACAATAGTGCTTTATATTATATTCCTGGAGAATGTCAGCTTTCTTCTTGCAGCTGAGATTCAAAGCAGTCACTTTAAACTGAAAATATAATCTGTTGTCCACCTCTTTTGAAACTATCTGTGCTCCAGGTCAACCTTTCTGTGGTGTCGCTTTACTTAAAGTCTATTCTATTTAGCATTTATATACAGTATATAATAATTTAATAAATGAACACATGTAATACAGTTGTAGGCAGATATGAGCGTTTATTAATGCACTTGTCAACAACTGTAATTCGCCTTCAAGTGGAGGCTGGTGTATAAAACAATGATTGGCAATATAGGAAAACGTTAAAGCTGTAATAATATAAAATATGTCTAAATCTGAGAAGGTATAATGGCTGACAGATACTGTACATTAATTACCACACTGCCCTCGGTCAAACAGATACTGACACACAGACCTGCAGCTCATAATTATAATGCATTCATGACACAGACAGGGATGAAAGGAGAGGGATAGACGAAGACAGCGTTGTAACCTGGGTCCCAACCTCCAACCCAAATGTCCCGCACACAACAAAATAAGTCAATATAGGCAGAGGGCAGGGTCTCTAAAGATACACACACCGCCACACACTTCTGGTGATAATGTATATATGTTTGAGTCTATACATGGAATTTTAGGAAAATCCTGCATATATATATATATATATATATAGTATACATTTAAACTTTTATTCATTCAACTTTACAATGATTTTGAGGCTGTAGTTGGTACTGTTTAACTGTTTTACATTATTACATTATTGTTGTTGTATATTAGAGTTGTTTCCAATATTAAGTCACACAAAGAATTACATAAAGAAGCTTTTTTGATGGTAATAGCAGAGAGGAGAAATCTATTTCCTGAATAGTTTTTGATTGACAGTTGATTGTTGTTTCTTTCTATCCAGGCGTTTGGCTTCATGTCACGGGTGGCTCTGCAGGCAGAGAAGATGAACCATCACCCAGAATGGTTCAATGTTTATAATAAGGTAATAACTTTCTCTACATTATGGCCCAAATCATAATTTGTAATAGTGACTGAGGAGTCACTTACAGCGCTGCATTTGTTTAGTATCCATTACAGAAATCACTGCGTGTAGAATCAAAGAACGTTATCATGGCTATGTGTTTGAGTTACTGCCATATTAACAATGCTACGGTTGGTTTGTAACAAATTACAGACACATCGAGATCAATCAACCCTGGATAAAGTCAGATTTTTTCATGTCAAACAATCCTCGCTGGTTCAGAGCTCTCCACTCAAAGCCTGAAACACACTCCGTTAGTCAGAACGACAAAAAAAAACAAAAAAACGCAGTAGCTTCACACTGTAATCCCATCGTTTTTCTTGTGAAAAGCTCTGCAAATATCTCCACCTCTCTTCCACCGAGCCCCCACAACCCCAACACTCACACACACTCTCACTTTCTCTCCCTCAGAAATAAAGTAGTGGTTGATATGACAAACCCAGTCCCTGAAAATCTCTCAGCATTAGGCTGTAGCCACTGAGTTACTGTGTGGTGGACCGGGCCGCTCTGACAGGAATGCTGCTCCTAATCCACTCTTTATTAAAGTGGCTGTAGAATGGTGCTACAGGTCTCTGGGCCCCCACAGCACTTTCCACCAGACACTTACACATAAATCCCACTCTGACTGAGGTTCAGCCTCGACAAAATAGATGATGTATACTGAGCTACTGCTAATGTTCTATTAATATTCATTCATGCTCTGCTCTGTTTTCTTGGCCCTCGATATAAAGATGTGAGTTTACAAAAATTTTTGCCGGGCCAGAGCTGCTCTCCAGGGAATTACCCCAGTGGGTGGAGCCGATAAGGTCCCCCATAAAAATTTCAAGTACTCTGAATGCAGCATGCTGGGCTCGGAGTTAGACACTGTATTTATCACAGTTAACAAATACCATGAGAATATCTGTCACTCGCTGTGGATCAAGGTTTAAAGGTCCAGTGTGTAACATTTAGGACGATTGATTGGCAAAAATTGAATATAATGTTCATAAGAATGTTCCCTTTAATGTATAATTACCTGAATATAGGAATTGTTGTGTTCTTGTTACATTAGAAGAACGGACAAACCAAACACTGGCTTGTCCGCGTTTTTTGCGGATTTTGTTGCCAACGAAGTTTCTGCTTTGTGCTTGGAAGGGGAGGGGGAAGCAATAGAGTCGCGATCTGCTACTCCACCGTTCGATGCCACTAAACCCTACACAATGGTCCTTTAAAAAGTACATAGAAACCACCACTTCAACATAATCCATTACTATATTAATAAACATGTGGTTCACCTTCTAAAACCACTCAATGAGAGAATTAATGAGACTATTTTAATAGATATCCTAGACAGATTTCTTTTCTAGTTAAATAATGATTACAGCACTAATTATCCTATTAATCTTTTTTTTTTTTTTTTTTGCTTTACTTGTTATTGTGTGTCCTCACAGGTCCAGATTACATTGACTACACATGACTGTGGAGGACTGTCAAAACGGGATATCAAAATGGCCAAGTTTATCGACAAAATTGCACTTTGTTTTTAATCTGAAAGTCTTGCTTTTTCCCAAATAAAATAATTTACTGTCTCCTGTTGATTCATCTGTCTTATAAAATAAAATCTGTGAAAGATATTCTATTTTGATGTTTGTATTTTGTTTGCAGCACATTTTGTATATACTTTCTGAAAGAATAAATCTTTGATTTTGTGAAACGTTCTTGTGTCTATAATTGATTTATAATAATGGAGCCCTGCACCAACGCTTGAATAAAATTTAATTTGTAAGGCTTTGTCAAAATCTTCGCTTTGTGGTTTAGATTCAGGATTCCCTCACTAACTGATTCTGGTAGATTTAATTTCATTGTGTGTGTCACTGTGTGGTTTTCTAGTTTTCAGCAGTGTTTATTTTCACACATGGAATTAGAATGGAGTGTAATTGCTCTGCAGAGCTCTGTCCGGTACTTGCCAACGATCCAGAAGATACTTTTCCCTGTCAGTCCTCCACCAGACCACATGTTCTCCCGTTGGCCCTGGAGAGTGGAGCAAAATGAGGAAAGGGTCAAAGTCAGTAGGAAGGGGATTTATTTGATTTACGGTTTGGTAAGGGATGAGTCAGCTAGGTCTGCTGTGTTTTCCGACTGGATCGCCATCAGGAGAAGATCAGCAAAGAGAAAAGAGTGCAATAACAGCCAGATCAGTAGTAGTGTTCTCATGCTGCCAACCTAAATTTTTCTGTAGCTGAGGATGCACAGCAGTGACTTTTTCTAGTTAAAGCACAGTGTTACCTGTGGTGGGATGGTAATCTAACAGTCCACTTTGGGGGTGGGGGTGTGGGGGTGCCTCCACTGCAATTAGGAGCACACTTACAGGAAACAGCAATTATACTGAGCAGCCAAGGTCATTACAATGAATGCATATTGCGTTCCTGCTAAATGAAATGGCCTTTCTGGTTTCTATAGGTATTCATGCTTTTCAAATTACTTCTCATTTGGACAGACCAGGTTGAAAAGCAAACCCATAGAACGCTGTACATTATCTACACTTTCGATGTTGCTCCCAAAGTTCAGTTTTTCCTTTTCTTTTAGGCTTCGACTAACATGGTAACTTGAATCACATGGGCTATAGACTGGCTGCATTTACATTAGATTAAATAATTTGTCAAATTTTCACATTGTTTCGCCTTTTTAACAGTGAAGGCCATCCAGGCCCACACACATGTTGGTGAGCCTAAAGCACATGCTCAAAGTTAGACATATATCATATTGCAAATATGATTTGGGAGCACTTAGCCCCTTGTTCATTCATCTGTATAGTGAAGTTCTGACCAAAATTACAGAAATGTTTCATCTGTTGAGTATTAAATTGCACAAAACACTGACCTACGTGGCTTTTTGTGCAGGAAGACAAATGCAAGGCTGGAAACAATACGAAACATTTCAAACCTTTTTAACCACCTTCCCTCTGTATGTATGGTACTGTGTTTCTCATTTGAATTGTCTCAAGGGGTTAAGCCAGCATGACTACACCTTCATCTGCAGCAGTTTCTCCTTGATGCTTGTGTCTCGTGTATAGGAACCATGTCAGCAGTAATGGAGGAGGTCCTCAAATCCTTTACTAGAGTAAAAGTGCCAAAACAACAATCTATAAATACTCCATTACATGTAAAAGTCCTGCATTCACTTAGTTAAAGTATCAAAAGTAAAACTTGTTCTGCAGAAAAACAGTCTGACTGAAAATTTATTTTTGTAACTACTTCATATATACTGTACTGCTATGTAGTTTAGTCCATGGGTTCCCAACCCAGGGGTCGAACCACCTCCAGAGGATCACAAGATACATCTGAGGGGTTGTAAGATGATTAATGGGACTGAAAAGAAGAAAAAACAAAGTGAAACCTTCTGAGTGGTTTAGAGGGGAAGTCTCTCTTTGGAGGAACTGCTAACAACTCATCTCAAACCTGGCTGCTGGATGTAGCCTTTAACAGACAGATATGAGAGTGGTCATCTCATCTAAAGGTCCAAAAAGCAAAACTTTTATTGAGGCAAAATAATTGAAAATACTGGATCTGTATGAGAAGATGACACACTATTCTCTCTATGTTCAGTAAATATTTAATATATGTATGTATTTATAAAGATCTCATTAAATGTAGCTTTAATAAACGAGTGAGATTTTTGGTCTTACTCAATCAGCTGAGGCAGCATATTTGAACTGCTGACTTTTTCATTTCAAGCTTTCACGTCTAGGGTTGCAAGGGACAATTATTTTCATTCGCCAACTAATCTGTTGTTTTTGATTCTTGTTTAGTCTAAAAAAATGTCAGAAAATAGTAAAAAAAATCCCCATCACAATTGGTTAGAGCAAATTCCTCGTCTTATCCAACTAACCATCTAAAACATCTAAATATCCAATTTCCAATCCTCACATCTGAGAAGCTGGAACCAATGAATGCTTGGAAATGTTCCTTGATTCATAAAGGTTATCAAAATGGTTGTTAATTAATCAACTAATAGATTAACTGACTTATTATTTCAGCCCCACACCCCTCTGTAACTGCTAGGCCACCATCATCTGTAGTCTGTTGAGGAGAAGGAGGAGTTTTAAGTGACCAGACAGCCCTTTCTACAAGGCCAAGCCAGGCCAGACCAGGCCAGATGTGGCCCCTTCAGATAACTGGCCTCAGCTGATGGACAGAAGCAGCAGGCAGCCAGGCCAGCCCTCCCATTAGTGAACCTCTTGGATTCTGGCTCCTTAATCCGTTTTCAGCTTCACCTACTAATTCTGCACCGCCAGCACTGCAGCCTACACACACACAAACTACACAGAGCCATGAGAACCAGAGGGAGACAGAAAGACGGGAAGGAATGAGGAAGAAAGAAGAGGCAGAGAAAGTGGGGAGGGCAGTTGGGGGGGGGTTTAAAGACAAACGGAGAGAGAAGAAGGGGCAGGAATAGAGCCAAGAATAGATGAGTGGGACGGACCAGGTGGGGATGCCTTTTTCCCTTTTTTTTGTGTGTAGACCATGAGACGGAAAAATAATAATTCTCCCCAAGCATAAATGTCTAGTGACTGACTGAGAACGACAGAAGGGGGAAGAGAGAGATGGAGTGGGGGTGAGTGAGAGAAGAAACCTCGAGCAGGAGAGAGGCTTTCTGGGCTTTTTCCAAGTAGCTGCTGTGCGTGATAGCGGACCATATTTCTCCTCTAGTGTGTGAATCGCTGTTTCACTCCCTCGACATGTGGTGGATGGGGCTGGCGGACCAGTAGTTGCAATCTGATACTGCCAAATAAAGATAACAAGGTCACAGAAAGTCAATCTTGACTTAAGTCTGCCTTTGGAGTCTCCAGGGGGAGTGCACGGGCCAGCGTTTAGCATGTGGGCTCGTCTGTTGTGGGATTCACTGCAGACACGGTGCTGATAGTAATCACAGTGTGCGCTTGATGCCAAAAAGCAACCAGGAGCTTAACATTTGCAGAGACATTAGTATGGCATTTGTTATTTGATCAAATGCACCCCGTTTGTACATTCTCCATGTGGTGCAACAGTAACTACTGAACGATGGCTGACTGTTCTCATCTGTGTGAACAGAAACATATTGTTGTCTGTTTTGCTGATAAATGGCAGTTTCACGCTGTCTTCTTCCATTTAAAAGACAAGTTGTCAGGAGGACTTTTTTTGTAAAAAAAAAAAAGGAAAACACATTTTCTCCGGGATACGAGGGATCACAGTAATGGTTGTCATACTGAGTAAGAGTGAAGTAAAGTGTCAGCAACACAGAAGCTGCCTAATAAAGACATCCATTACAATCGACAACTTTTCATGAGCTAAGAAGAAGAAAACGTTTTTAGCTTTGTGCATTTTTGAAATAGTCCAACAGGATTGTAAATGTCTTATGTAACATAAGAAGAAGGAGAATTTTGCTTTGCGTTTGCTTATGGTTTTCACAGGAACAGTGTATAATCTCTCAGAACTTTAAAAATCCCCCTCGACCTAAAAATATGTTTTTCTTCTTGTTCCTACAGTTGGATGTTTGAGCTTCACTGAGCCGAATGATGTATGTGCAGAGCTTGACACTAGAAATATGTTTTCACATTCATCTGTTGAAAGTAGAAAGTTTCTCTGTGCTCAGAGAAATTCTGATTTTTAAGGGGCGGGGCCTACGAGAGTGGGTTGGTTAGGGAAGTCACTCCTGGTCCAGTATGCAATTTATATAAGTGTGATATAGAAACTTGAAGCCTCCAATGCAGAATGGACTTTACAGTGCAGTAGGAGACATCTTGAACACAGCTTGTATATTCATAGATTCTGTCATTTTAAATGAGGAAGGAGTAGATCAGTGGTTTACACAGTGGGAGTGGTGTCTCCAGCAATAAGGTGAATCATTTATTTTTCCTATAATTCCATCCATAAGTAACACAATGACAATATTTTGGTGTTGGTTACATAGACTCATAAATAGATAGATAGTGTGGTAATGCCAGTATAGTATAGTAGAGGATGCGTTTTTAAAGATTTTAAAGTGGTTTTTAAAAACAAACAAAAAAAGAACAATGTATTAAGACACACATTTATGTTCCAAGCAGACAACTGCCATATGTCGTAATTCATATCTGGAGGGGATCTTTAACCAAAGTGAACTCATTTTGTTTTATGGGTGTCAAAATTAAGTTCATTTGTTTTTTGTGTATATAAATTGTTGACAATACTAACAGTCTGCTATACTTATGCGCAGCGGTGCTTTGAGGTAAATACTAAAATGAGATTGCTGACATTCTTGCAATCTTACACAGGTATACTGTTTACCATGTTCACAATCTTAGCATTAACATGCTAACATTTGCTAATTTGCACTAAACACAAAGTGTGAGGCTGATGGGAATGTCAAAGTATTAGACAAAATGTAAATTTTGATCCCCTAACTTTTCACCTACTGCCATCATCAGGTCAAGTTAATACAATCCATCCTGAGGGGAACATTAATATCTTAATGTCATAGGAATCCATCCAACAGTTATCGAGACATTACTAAAAAACAAAAATGTCATGGTGGCGCTAGAGGAATAGTCATGGGTTGTCCTCTGTAGAACATTTATGTACAAGATCCATCTACAAGTAATGAGATAATTCATTCTACCTTTGGTCTGGGGCTGATTCTCTAAATGCTACAGGACACAATGATATTTTAGACAACAGTGCCCTGAGCCCAGCCAGG